CTATATTTGTTTCTTTTAAGCTATAGTTTCCCACCCATCATTTTTTTTCTTTGCAACTTATTTTTTTTTTCAATTAGCAATAATCGCGCCTTGGATAAACCTCATTGGCTACAATACTGCCACTGCGCAAAGCTTATTTTTTGAAAGAGCTGGATTGTTTGTCCTGTAGTGTTTCCCATGGTATGGATTTTGTTGAATGCATCCCCATGGTGTACTTTTACATGACCCTCTGTTCTCTGTATTTCCTGAAAATTTAGGTTACAATTTTTTGGCAAGATTGCCCCATAGGGCCCTGGCCGGCTTGGCTCAGTGGATAGAGCGTCGGCCTGCGGACTGGGGGGTCCCAGGTTTGATTCCGGCCAAGGGCACGTGCCTGGGTTGCGGGCTCGTTCCCCAGTGAGGGGTGTGCGGGAGGCAGCCGATCGATGATTCTTTCTCATCATTGATGTTTCTCTCTCTCCTTCTCCCTTCCTCTCTGAAGTCAATAAAGAAATATATTTTAAAAAAAAAGATTGGCCCATAGGTAGGTTTGTAAAAAAAAAAAAGTGTGTGTGTGTGTGTGCGCGCGCACACTCATATACATACAAATTATATTTAAAGTATTAATAATTATCAAATATACAAAGAAGTACAATGAACCCTGTATAAGCCTTCTAGATTGAATAGTTATTAACGTTTTCCATATTTGATTCTCTCTCTCTCTCTACACATATACATGTACATATATGTATACATACACACCTTTTTTTGCTCATTTGAAAGTATATTGTATAGGCATTATTATTTTTCAGCATGCAAATTCCTAAAAGAATAAATTCCCCTACATTACCATAATATAATTAAAAATTAAAAATATTTCTATATTATCTAATATACAATTCATATTCAGATTTCTCAATTGTCCAAATAATGTTATATACCCTATTTTTTTCTAACTAGGAATAAAGTGTAGGTTCACACATTAAATGTATTATTTCATCTTTTTCTTTTTCTTTTTTTTTTTGGTCTCTGTCTCGAGTCTGCCACCTTTTGCCTACATGACATTGACTTTAAGAATCCAGAATATTAGTCTTATCTCACATTTTGGATTTATGTAATTCTTTCTTCTGGTGATCTTTAAGTTAATCTTTTATATTTATGTTATGGATCGTTTAATCAGGTTTTTAAGATGATATGCTTCTCTTATTATGACCCCTTAGCCGTTTTCCCCTCATTTTCGCATAGTCTTAGCTTTTTAAATTTCACCTTTGTTGCCACAGAACTTTCTCAGGGAGGCTGTATGAGCTCGTTTCGATGGAATAGAGGTGGAGACTTCAAAGGACGCAAGTGGGATACAGACCTGCCCACTGATTCTGCTGTAAGTCTGCAGTTTTATTTTTTGTTGTTGTTTTTCAGTGGTTTTTGTTTGTTTATTTTTAATGCTTTTGGAGAGAGAGAGAAATAACGATTTGTTGTTCTACTTATTGATGCATTATTGGTTGCTTCTTGTATGTGCCCTGATTGGGGATCAAACTCACAACCTTGGCACATGAGGATGATGCTCTAACCAACTGAGCTACTCGGCCAGGGTGTTTTTTCAGTTTTGTTATTGGATTTCTGTGTTTTTATTTTCCCGTTATCAAAATAAATATTAAAAAGAATTTGGAAACTAAAGTAGAAATAAAAAATTAGCCGAAACCGGTTTGGCTCAGTGGATAGAGCGTCGGCCTGCGGACTGAAAGGTCCCAGGTTCGATTCCGGTCAAGGGCGTGTACCTGGGTTGCGGGCATATCCCCAGTAGGAGATGTGCAGGAGGCAGCTGATCGATGTTTCTCTCTCTCATCGATGTTTCTAACTCTCTATCTCTCTCCCTTCCTCTCTGTAAAAAATCAATAAAATATATTAAAAAAAAAATTAAAATTGTACCAGCATCTTAACCCAATAAGTGTTACTATTTTGGTGTATTTTTTTCCCTTTACTTAGGTTGTACTATTTTTTTAATGTTTTTTATCACAGTTGTAATCATGTATGTAAAATGATATATCTTGTTTTTTTTCACTTTTGCAATATTTAACTAGGTTTTTTATTATTACATACTGTCATTTAACTGTTCTCCAATATTAGACTTAAAAGTTTGAGAAATGTGATAGGGGAAGGGATTTTTGTTTTTCTATCTTAAATAATATTGCAAGGAATATCATGATGCATATTTCTTTCTTATTTGAAATTACTACTTTAAGAAAGATTCCTTGCCCTAGCTGGTTTGGCTCAGTAGATAGAGCTTCGGCCTGCAGACTGAATGATCCCGGGTTCAATTCCGGTCAAGGGCACATGCCGGGTGGTGGGCTCGATCCCCAGTAGGGGGCATGCAGGAGGCAGCTAATCAATTATTCTCTCTCATCATTGATGTTTCTATCTCTCTCCCTCTCCCTTCCTCTCTGAAATCAATAAAAATGAAAATAAAAAATTTTAAAAAAAAGAAAGATTCCTAGAATTAGATTTGTAAGATCAAAGATTATAAAAATTTGGGTCATTTATGAGTTTTTCAAAATCATGTTCTTTATTTTTTTATAGTGACTTTTGTGTGAAAATGGTGTTTTAAATGCTGATATTCAAATTGAGAATTGAATAAATATGTATTTTTTTTATCTTGGTTTTGCTGCTCATTAGCTATACACGTGTGAATGATCTACTTAACAGAAAACTAGGAATGTCTTTTATCTTTTCATTTTACAGATTTCATCTTAAACCACTTGAAAGCATTTTTGCTAATTCTCTCTTTAGGGAAAATATTTTAAATTGGAGTTATAAACACAGACTTTTTTTTTTTACACATAAAAGTTTGGTTTATTAATCCTCTCATGAAAAATCTGCACCATCACACCACAGATAAAGTCACTGAAGAATCTTTACTTCTTTTTGCCAGCACCAGCATTGGCCTTTGCAGTCCCCCTGATTGTCTTCATTCTGTTCTTGCGTGCCTTTCTCTGTTTTCTTGAGGTCTTCTTTTTTTCATATAGGCCATGTCTTACAAGTCTGTGTTTGGTTTCATTTTTCTTTGCGTAATCCAAGGAATCGTACATAAATCATGCCAAAGCTAGTTGTCTTGCCACCACCAAAGTGGGTTCTGAAGCCAAACACAAAGATGACATCTGGTGTGGTCTTACACATTGTGGCTAGTTTTTCCCGGATTTCTGTCTTGGGTACTGCTGCCTTCCCAGGGTGACGGAAGTCAATGACGATTTGCTTCCGCTGACGTAGTCTGTTGGTCATGAACTTCCTGGTCAGGACAGTTACTGCGTCATCCATGATGAAGGCTGATCTTCAAGCAGCCAGGAAGGAAAAGAACACAGATGTTTTTAAAGGGCTACATCCATGATAGATTTTCATGCTGATTTTTAAAAATTGTTTTCTCATTTTTAGATCATTATGCATGTGTTTTGCACCTACCTCGATTCCAGATTACCTCCACATCCTAAATACCCTGACGGAAAAACATTTACTTCTCAGCACTTTGTTCAGACACCAAATAAACCAGGTATAAGCCTCTTCTAAAAGAATGAGTTGCCGAAACCAGTTTGGCTCAGTGGATGGAGCGTCAGCCTGCGGACTGAGGGGTCCCAGGATAGATTCCGGTCGGGGGCATGTGCCTGGGTTGTGGGCATATCCCCAGTGGGGGATGTGCAGGAGGCGGCTGATCGATGTTTCTCTCTCATCGATGTTTCTAACTATCTCTCTCCCTTCCTCTCTGTAAAAAATCAATAAAATAGATTTTAAAAAAAAAAGAATGAGTTGAACTTTTTACATGCAATACATCTGGTGATTTTGTTTGATTTTCATGTAGCATGTTTCCTTTACAGATGTGACAAATGAGAATGTCTTTTGCATTTATCAGAGTGCTATCAACCCTCCCCATTATGAGCTAATCTACCAGCGTCATGTCTACAATCTTCCAAAGGTACTTCTAAATGTAGAAGCTGCTATTATAGAATGTCATGGATGACTTGCTTTGATGATGTTTTTAAAATTAGAATCTCTTGTTTATGGAATAGGTAAACTTTTTAAATTAGGGAAAATGTGTTTCTTGCTTCAGCCCATTTTTAACTATAAAATATATGTTTAATTGGGGAAAGTATAAAAATCACTCATTTTCTTACTTAGAGGCAGCTGTTAATATTTTGGTATATTGTTTTCGGTAAATTTCATTTTGCTCTTTTTCTGTACTTTTTTTTTTAGTCCTCACCTGAGGATATTTTTTCCATTGATTTTTCAGAGAGACTGGAAAGGAGGAAGGGAAAGATGAAGAGGGAGAGAGAAACATCAACGTGAGAGAGACACATTGATTGGTTGCCTACTGCATGTGCCCCGACTAGGGCCAGGGATGGAGCCTGCAACCCAGGTACTCGCCCTTGACCAGGAATCAAATCCTCGACCCTTCATCCTTGGGCCAATGTTCTAACCATTGAGCGCACCAGCCAGGGCCCTCTCTTCTTTTTTATGGGTTGAAATCATTTATGTAAATGATTTTAAAGATTAACTTTATAATTTCCATACCATTAAAAATCTTCATAATACTTTTTTAAAAATATGTTTATTTATTTATTTTAATATATGTTTATTGATTTCAGGGAGAAAGGGAGAAGGAAAGATAGAAACATCAATGATGAGAGAGAATCATTGATCAGCTGCCTCCTGCATGCCCCTTACTGGGGATTGAGTCCACAACCCAGGCATGTGCCCTGACCTGGAATCGATCCCGTCACCTCTTGAGTCATGGTTGACTCTCAACCACTGAACCACACTGACAGTGCTCTAATTCTTAATTACCATAAATATTGCTGAATATTCATCTTTATATGTATAGCTGTCTGCATTTTGGGTGATTTCTTTAGCTCAGAGTCCAAAAGTAAAATTCTAGGTTACAGAATATCTTCAAGGCTTTTAAAATCGGTATCAAACTACTTTATAAAAAAGGGAATTGTACCAATTTACACTTTTATCGAGGGTTTTGTTTGTTTGTCTTTAATATGGAACACTTCACCAATTTGTGTGTTACCGTGCGCAGGGTCCATGCTAATCTTCCCTGTATTGTTCTAATCTTCGTATATGTGCTTCTGAAGCCAGCATTACCCAGGGGTTTTATTCTTGATTGTAAACATCAGTTCTTTTGATGACCTTTGCAGTTATTTTTGTTATCAGTGCCTTTACTAAGAAATTTTTACATTGACTATAATTATAAAATGTGTTCTCCATCAGATTCCCAAGAAAGAATATTAATTTCATTTTTTCAATTTTAATATTTCAATTTTCTAAAAGTATAAATATTTTGGGGCATTGAACTTCCTTTGAAATCTTTTTTTTTTTTTTAAAGAAACACTGTGTTTTAAAAATTATATATCCTTAGATTCTTGAGTAAAAAGACTGAATCAGAGTAAGTAGGTACAAGTTGATGAGTGAATTGAAAACCTAAGTTAGGAGCTAGTTTAAAGACCAGAAATTACGTATCATTGCGTGATTTTAGGGCTAGCAAAATGCTGCCGTGTAGTCACTTGTAGATAAAATAAATTTGTTTAACCTGTTACTTATATTGTCATTAACATATAATTGAAGTATGATTTAAAGTTTTTTAATCCCCATACTTTTGTTTATGCTGTTAATTTTTGAGAAAGAGCATTTTGTGTGTATAGTATGCAGGGCACCAGCCTAACAATAGCTCTCTTCCAGGCCTTTGTAAATGCTACTCTCCATGTATAGAAACTTCCCAGTCTGTTTACTTTCTGCTCATCTTTCAGGTCTCAAGTTAAAAATCTCTTCCTCAGAGAGGCATTCCCTGGTTCACCAGTCTGGGTCAGAGGCCCACATGTGTTCCCATGGTACCTTCCCCCTCCCCCTCATAACATTCATCACACTTTTTGTAATTCTGAATTTTCTGTCTGCCTTTTACTAGACTTTAAGCTCCTTGATTTAGTGGATCCTCTCTGTCTTACTCACTTCAGTATTCCCATTTCCTAGCACAAAGTAGGCACTGTCTTTAATGAGTGAGTGAAAATCTGAGTTACATGGCGTTCTGAGTTTGTAGAATGTGAATTGATAGGATCTGCATTTATCTATCAGACTGAATCTTTTGCTTGGTTTAGTTTTTGTGGGGTTTTTTGCTTGTTTTTTATTGTTGTTTTCTTTTGCTTGGTTTAGTTTAAATCTTGCTGTGTTTGTCTTTGTTCCAGGGCCGAAATAATATGTTTCATACATTATTAATGTTCCTTTACATCATAAAGACCAAAGAGTCAGGAATGCTTGGGTAGGTATTTGTGCTTTAAGAACACAAGTACATAACTTATTAACTGATTTTCTTCCTTTAAGATTTTGCAGGAGTTTCAAGTGGTGACTTTGGGAAGTGGGCTTGGGTAATACAGGGAACTGCTTATTTCTGTCATTAACTTTTAGCACTATATGATTTATTAAATTATGAGTATGCATTTTGATAAAAATTTTTTAAAATGTATTATAAAAATGCCCTTCAAAAATGGTAATTTCTAGCCATGGTGGCTCAGTTGGTTGGAGCTTTAGACATATTTTAAGTAAACAATGAAGTTTTAGTTTTTTGTCATTTTGTTTTGTTTTGTTTTTGTTAATCCTCACACAAGGATATTTTTCCCATGATTTTTAGACAGAGTAGCAGGGAGGGGGAGAGACAGAGAAAGAGAAACATCAATGTGAGAGAGACACATCAATTGGTGGCCCTGGTTCAGGCCGGGGATTGAGCCTGCAACCGAGGTACGTGCCCTTGACTGGAATCAAACCCAGGACCCTTCAGTCTATGGGCCAACACTCCAATCACTGAGCCAAACTGGCTAGGGCTAGTTTCTGTTTTAATTGAAAATTTATCTTTTCTTCTATAGATCCAAATTGATATTTAGATGCATAAATGATTTGCCATGATGGTGTGAATCTTATGTTGAGTGCCATATACAATTTGTCATATGCATAAAAATGTAAAAGCTTTAAAAGTACTCAATGAAACAATAATTTACTCAAAGGCCAAAAACAAATTGATACAGTGCTTATCTTTAAGTGTACAACTTATATGTAGAAAATGAAACATTTTTGACCAAGACTAATTTGTGTTTTATTTATTTGGGGTTTTTTATTAACCAAGGAAAATAACTTTGAATTAAATTTAAAAGTATGATTGCTTACTCTTTTTAATATATTCTAAAATAACGAAATGGTTAAAAACTACTACCCTGTATCTTAAAGGAAATAGCAAGTGGCTCAAATATACTCCATTTGGAATCATGCCCGTAAATCAGCAGATTGATCCAAAAACATTTTTAATTTAATGCCACGTATCTGTGTCGTTACTGGAATAAGATGAATGTTTTACTTCCAAAGGGGAAAAAATCTAGACAGAATTGACCACATAGTAATGTAAGTGTTCTGTTCAGCGAAAGACATCATAAATAAAGTTTAAAGTTAAATGTCATACTGAAACAAAGCATTATAGTTGCAACACATATAGCAAACCTAAGTTAATATTCATCCCATGTAAAGCATGTAAGTTAATTAGAAAAGACAACTATAGAAAGGGGTCAAAGACACAAAAGACTTTTTCATAGAAAATGTTATGCAAATGGTTAATAAACATGAAAAGATGCTTAGCCTCATAGACAAGCCCAAATTAAAACATTTTTCTATCAAATTGAGATTTATCATTTGTGTGTCAGTGAGGGTATGAAAAAATAGGAAAATAATGGCTGATAGAAATTACCTTTTTTGAAGGGCATTTTTGTAATATATATTTTTAATTTTTATCAAAATGAGTACATACTCATAATTTAATAAATCATATAGTACTAAAAGTTAATGACAGAAATAAGCAGTTCCCTGTATTACCCAAGCCCACTTCCCAAAGTCACCACTTGAAACTCCTGTAGCTTTTCATTCTGATATTACTCATATGATTCCAAGTAATAGAGGTGTGCACTCTCTCTTGATTCTTTTTTTTTTTTTTAAATATATTTTATTGATTTTTTACAGAGAGGAAGGGAGAGAGATAGAGAGTTAGAAACATCGATGAGAGAGAAACATCGATCAGCTGCCTCCTGCACATCTCCTACTGGGGATATGCCCGCAACCCAGGTACATGCCCTTGACCGGAATCGAACCTGGGACCTTTCAGTCCACAGGCCAATGCTCTATCCACTGAGCCAAACCGGTTTCGGCTCTCTTGATTCTTCAGTGTTGGACATAGTTGATTGATTTCTTACTCTGTTAGATGAGTAATTTATCTCTCTTATAGCCCTCTTCTCACACTTTAAATACAGTTATATTACTCTCTGGAGTAGAAACCGATTTTTCTTTTGGTTAATCCTCACCCGAGGATATTTTTTTCCCCATTGATTTTTAAAGAGAGTGGAAGGGAGGGGAGAGAGAGACAGACAGACAGACAGACATCGATGTGAGAGAGACACATCAACTGGTTGCCTCCCGTACACACCCCTCCGCCCCCCAACTAGGGCGGGAATCGAGCCTGCACACAAACCTGTGATCCATCAGTGTGTGGGCCACCACTAACCACTGAGCAGATCAGCTAGGGTGATTTTTCTTTATTTATTTTTTAATATATTTTTTATTGTTGATAGTATTACAGATATCTCCCGTTTCCCCCCCTTATTCCCCTCCTCCCAGCCCCTCCCTACCCCCTCAGTGATTTTTTTTTATATGTGAAATATGGTTTAGTTTAAGCTATATTAATGCCCATATGAAAATCCACTAAAGCATCTCTAATATTGGAAAATTCCTAATTCAAGTCAAATAGGTAAATTTCTCTAAGAGGCCTGTCTCTATATTCTCCATTTAGAAAAATTTTATTACACATTCACTATGATTTTACCTACTAAAATGATCCTGTTAACTCTACCTGATATAATAGTTATTGAGGCTCACTGAAAAATTAATTTTCAACACTGTAAATTCATTTATTCTAAATTTGGGTTTTAAGCACAATTAAGAAAGTAATTACTTTTACTAGAATTCACCTGATAAACCATGTGGACCATAACTTATTATAGAATACTGTTAAATGTCATCAGTTAAACATGTACTCTGTGTTTAGTTATATGAGAAAAGACCTTCAATGCTTGGCAATCAGTTTCACTAAAACTTCTCTCTTTTTTCTTTATAGGAGAGTTAATCTTGGTCTCTCTGGTGTGAATATTTTGTGGATTTTTGGCGAGTAGTTGGTCATTTAATTCCAAACATTTGGACTTTTATTTGTCTGAATCAGAAGTTGAATCTAAGTATCTCTGAGTCACCACCTCTTTTGTTTTATGACATGTGTATATTATAGACTCTTTAGATTTAATGAAAAATAGCTATTTTGGAAACTTTCTTGTGAAAGTATGTCCTATATCTTCAACAACAGACATTACTCTCGATTTTTTATCACATTTCAGATTTTTCAGTTGCTTACAAAACTGCAACCCTTCAGGATTGTTGTTAACCTAAAGCAGTGCAGTCCCCCCTTAATTAAATAAAGATGAGTCCCTTTTCATTGTAACTTTCAAATAAGAATCATCTACCTGATTCTTCCCCACAAAAATTGACTCGTCAATTACATTATTTCGTGTAAGTACTTAAAAAGAAACAAGCAAATTGTCTGACTTTTTTCATCTCTATCTTTTCCCAGTGTTTGGCAAATCAGCCCAAGACCCATGTTTTAAAAATGAAATCAACTCCTAAGTAATGGATTAGTTAGTTCCTGTGTATTTTTTAAACTTGATGAAAGAAGTTTGACCATATTGTGCTTAAAAAGTCAACTCTTCGATTAAATTTAGCTTATAGAATTACTATTTGGTCTTAGTTAAGAAGCTGAGGACATCAAGAAAACTGCTGCTTTGTTTTTTGTTTTAATCCTCACTCTACATGTTGTTGTATTTTCATTGATTTTAGAAAGAGGAAGAGAGAGGGAGAGAGAGAGAAACATCAATTGGTTGCCTCCCGAACACGCCCCAACCAGAGTTTAAACTGGCAACGTGGGCAGTGCCCTGACTAGGAATCTGACCGGTGACCTTAGGTTCATGGGACAGAGCTCCAATCAACTGAGCCATACTGGCCAGCGCTGCTTT